GCTTCATGGGCCAGGCTGGGACTTCATCCACGGGATTCTTCTCTTTTGGGAAGAGAGGGAAATCTCAAAGAGCTCCTCATCTGCGTGCCTCGAGGTGCTGCCTGCTGAAAATCCCCCAAATGCAATGCAGAGAAAAGATGGGCTGCTGGAAATGGGAAAATTATTGGTCTTCCTGTCTGTTGAAGGCAAAATGGAAGGCTTGTAGCAATTTAGGATGAGCCACCTAGACTGGAAATCAGGAAAGAATAATACAGAGCTTTCTCTTCCTCACCTCTGTTAAAAATCCCTGGGAGACTCTGAGGCCCAATCCAAGCAGAAAATTCCCCCTAGATCCATAAGATCTGGTGGTCGAGCTTTGCATTTAAATCCAGCAGTTACTTCTCTGCCAGGAAGGATCTGAGTTTGGTTCCCCTTCCAGCCTGTGGAGTTCAACCTGGCATTCTCTCCTTTCCAACAACATTCTCCACCCATGCTGGTGATAAACACCTGGGGCTGGGTGTGCAGAGAGAGGCAGAATGTGTTAAAATGTTGATTTTCATGAGCAAGACACACTTAAGGTTCTTTCTGCCCTGGCCATGAAAAGATCAAAGGAAATCCAAAGCCTGGCTTCTGCTGGATGCTTCCCAAGGGTTTCTCCAGGATGCTGCACCCGTGTGTGGGATCCTGCTGCTGCCTCACATGGATGAACTGGAGTGTGGAGTTCCCTCCTGGGTGAACCCTGCAAACCAAAAACCCCACAGCTCCCCATGGTGTGGCCCCTGTAATCCCATTATTCATTGCCAGGCAGATTTGTGGAGCTCTGCTGGCCTGACAACTCTGCTGCTTTCAAGGGGACATCACTCATCCTTTCCAGTGATTGTTTGGTCCTCAGCATGGAGCAGGGGGAATGGCTTTAGTATTTGTGCAGAGCCTGTGGGAAAGAGAAGGAGAATGAGGATTTCTGGGTTCTGGCTGAAATTCCTCTAAATATTCTGGGGGTATTTGAACAGAGCAGTGTTTAATGGGACATGGATGCAGGACAGGGGGTTTGCATCTTAAACCAAGCCCCAGGATGAGTGTGGGGAGTGAGAGTTCATGCCCTGCAGAGCAGCTCCACTTTGGTGCTCTGCCCAGCTGCCTCCACAGGAGCTGTCACCAAGCAAGGAACTCCCAAGCCCTTGGGAAGACAAGGCAGCCTTCCAAGGAGCACAGGCAGTGCCAGCCCTCATCCCATCTTCCTTCCCTTCTTTGTGCACATCATCCTCTCATAGAAACATGGAATTGTTGAGGAAAAGCCCTCAAAGATCATTGAGTCCAGCTCTTAACCCAGCACTGCCAAGGCTGCCACTAAACCATGTCCCCAAGTGCCACATCCACATGGTTTTAGTCAACCACTGCCAGGCTTTGTTCCTTATCTTCATTTTCTAGAGGGCTTTGCCTTCCAGCTTGTGGGAAATCAAATGCATTCCTCAAAAGAGGGAAGACAAGAACCAGTCAAAAAATGTAAAGCTGGTTTGCAAGAGAAAAAAAGCACCTATAACTCACAGCTCTCTGCACAATGGCCTCATAATTCTCTTTTAAATGATGTTGGGTTTTTTTTATTTTTTTTTTTTTGGCAGCAGAGGCTTTTTTAATCCCACATTCTTCCAAATATTCAATGAAAGCCTTTGTTGGCATTTCTTAGGTAACTTGATACACCAAGAAGAAAGAATGACCCAGGGTCACTTCAATAACACCTGTGATCACCTCCTGATAAAATGTCAGCATTTGTTTTGAGACAGGGCAAAATAACAACAGAATAGGGTTGTGGTTTTTTTATTGTAACTCAGGTGGAAGAATAAAAACTGCCAAGTGGCATTGCTCTGCTGGGAGCACAGGTTATGAGGTCTGAGAGGAAATAGTGGGGTTTTTTTGATAAAGGTAAATGACCACAATCTGCCAACAGCATTGAGAGAGATTTCCTGAGAGAGAGAGAGAAAGATTCACTCAGAGATTGGTACAAAGGTGACTTAATCCTCTCCAGACAGCCAAGCTGGAGTCTTATTTCATCAGGCAAGGTCCTCCAGGATACCTCTGTAGTGTCAGAGAATCATCAAATGCTTTGGCTTTGAAGGGATTTAGACATTAGAAAAGAATTCTTCCCTGTGAGAGTGGTGAGGCCCTGGCAGTTTCCCATTCCTAGCAGTGTCCGTGGCCAGGTTGGATGGGGCTTGGAGCAACCTGGGATAGTGGAAGGTGTCCCTGCCCATTGCAGGGGGTGGCACTGGGTGAGTTTTAAGGTTTCTTCCAACCCAAACCATTCTGGGATTCTCTGATTGCCTGGAGGAGGAGGGATTATGGCAAAAGTTAAACAACCCCAAGGCTGCTCTGGTTCACACCATCCTTGCAGCAGCCCTTGGAAAGGGGTAATGGAAAGGTCTCATGTGGGAATATCAGAGTCTTTGTGGGGTCTCTAAAGGGGAACTTTCCTTCCTCGCTTCCCTTCTGCATCTTCATGCACAAGCCACCAGGCCAGGAATAATTCACTCCCTTCCCCCAGAGCTGCATCTGCACCCACAAACTGAGCAGCTCATTTCCAGGCCTGGAGGGAAACTGATATGGTCTGATCACATCCATGCTGCTAAAATCCAGGAAAAGGTAATTTATCCCAAAATGTAGAATCACAGAGTCCTAGAACTGGCTGAATTGGAAGGGGTCTTGGAGATCATCCTGTTCCAGCCCTTTCTGGTGAGCCTGTTCAGCTTCTTTCCCACTTTCTTTTCTTTGTATCTTTTGTGGTTTCGTTGCCTTTCTGTGAGGAGGGAAGTGGGGTGGGAAGTGGGAATTGTCTTGATTTGCTTTTCCAGCCCCTCCTTCCCCTGTTTGCCAGGCTGATTCCCACACCAAGTGTTCACTCCTTCCATCACTACCCACAGCATCCTGTGGCAATGAATTTTCTTAATTATGAGCTAGAATTTCTTTTTTTAATAAAAGACCTCTTTCCTTTCATTACTTCTGAATCTTCTACCTTCCCAAGCCAGGTGCCAGGGGAGAAAAAAATACCTCCAAAACACTTAAATCATTAGCTTGGAGGTTGTAGTTCTCTGTCCTGTGGGAAACCATGGAGATCCCATCCTGAGAGCCACTTCAAATCGCAGAGATAAAATAAACCACAGGGGAGGTGGACTCTGTCATGGGCCAGCTCTGATTTATGCAGGCTGGAAATCCAGGCTGAGTATTTGGGGATCAGTTATTTGGTGTTCTTTTAATTGGTCCTTTCCACCTCTAATTGCTCTGTCTCCCTGTGGCTGCTGCCTTATGAGCAAAATTAATTTGGGCTTTGTTTAATGTTGAGATGGAGGCTCTGAAGCCTGACAGATACCCAAGCCAACAGCCTTGGCACAGCTTTAATTCCACTTTCTTGGTGCTCCTGAAAACATGAGCAGGCACAGAATTTCTCTATTGTTAAAAATTCCCCATCCTGAGCTGGTATTTTTTTGGGATGCATTGCTGGCTTGAAAGATCCCTGTCTCCCTCACAGATCAAGCACCTCTAGATGAGTTCACAGAACCAGATAGGTTGGAAAAGATTTTTGAGACTGAGTCCAACCTATGACTCGACACCACCTTGTCAACCATGACATATTTTTTTAAAACACCTCAGACTTGTCTTGGTTTGGAAAGACAAGTGTCTGCTAAGGAAGGCAGGAGCCTCCCCTGAAATGGAGAATGTAAACCCTCCTCCCCCTCCAAATTGCTATAAATTTTAAATTAAGGGGCTCTCAGGCAAAAAATATGGGAGCAGGATTAACAGTTCTTTAATAGGAAAGAAAATGAAAAGATAAATAAACAATGCAGTAAATTAAACCAACACTGACAGAGTCAGAATACAACCTGACACCCTGTGGGTCAGAGTGTTGGTGGCAATCCAATTAGAATTGTGGCTACAGTCCTTCTGGATTGTCAGGTGTGGATCTCCTGGAGCAGGGATCCTGTAGAAAAGGGTGTAGTTGTCTTCCAAAAATCCAGTGGAAGAAGCAGCTGCTGTTCCTCTGGGAAATCCTGTGGAGAAGCTGTGTTGGTATTCCAGGATCTCCAGATTATATCTGGGTAGCAATGCTTGGCTTCTCCCTCTGGGTGGAGCATCTCCCAATGGGATGCTGCAGTTCTTATCAGTCATGCAGTGACATTCCATAGCCTGTTGTCAGCAGATGTTCCCCCCCAGAGGGAGGAGTGGGTGTGGAAGAGATAAGGCAAACTGCCCACTTGACAAAAGACAACTGCCATACAGATGGCCAATAGAATACATCTTGCCTTGTTGCAGTGTGATTTCAGGATTTACCTCAGAACCTTGGGTCCTTCCACTGATCATTCCTTCCCAGGTGTGTCAATCACCTCTCTTTCCCTTCCCTGACCCTTCCCAGCACTGTCTGTCAGTCCTGGAGTTAAAGAAGGGCCTTGAGTGATTGGGCAGATTCAATGGATGCCCTCTACCCCTGGGGGACATTGGGCCATCCAGGTGTCCTTTGCCCCTTAAGATCTCCCCTCCTGTACCTGATTGGGGGCTCCCTACCCCTTCCCTGCCCCTCTTCCCAGGGTTAAAAGGAACAGCAACCACACAGTTCAGGGAGTTCTGTTGGAGCTGTTGTTGGATTCAGAGACCTGTGGGCCAGAATAAAGCTCCGGATCCAAACCCTCCATCAGAACCGACCCTTCACCATCACCTTAAAGCTTCTCCACCACAGGGAAACCTGAGGAGTGGCCCCTCTTAAGGGGAGGAAGTTCCATTCTGCCACCACCAGAGCTCTTGCACGCCTAGACTTGTCTCCATGCACCCAGCTGCAACATCCAGCTAGAAAAGTATCTGGGGTGAAACACCACAGTTGCCACTATTTGGTTCAGCAGCAAGGGCCAGACAAGCTCAAACATGTCTCATCCAGCTATATTGGTAATATTCGAACATTGCCTTGCAATCTGGTACAAGCCTCCAGCAGGGAGGCAGCAAATTCACCACTAAAACCTCTCTCCCCTCCCCTTTTCCAGGCAGAAATGCGCCTGCAGGACCAGCAGCTGGCCAGGCAGCTGATGCGGCTGCGCAGCGACATCAACAAGCTGAAGATCGAGCAGACGTGCCACCTGCACCAGCGCATGCTCAACGACGCCACCTTCGAGCTGGAGGAGAGGGACGAGCTCGCCGACCTCTTCTGTGACTTCCCCCTGGTCAGCTCCTTCAGCCTCTCCACGCCCCTCAAGCTCATTGGGGTCACCAAGATGAACATCAACTCCCGCCGGTTCTCGCTGTGCTGAATGGGGAGGGGAAGGACAGGGAAGGATGGGGGAGGAAAGGGGAGAGGGCTCTCTCTGCCTCGAGAGGCCAGCGAGGAGAGAGCTTCCCTGGGAAGCTGCAGCTGGTCATGGTGGCAGAGTGGAGGTTGGCACTGGAACGGCCTGGGGATGCTCATGGGGGAAGGCAGGACCTGCGTGGAAGAAGCCTGGAGAGCTTCCAGACCCAGCACACGCACTCAGCTCCTTTGCCAAGTCCCTTCTCCTCCTCTTCCTCCCACAGGACGCAGCTCGGTGTGGGTGGTTGTGCTCAAAAATCAAAGGAGGGGTCAAAAATCAGCCACAAAGCAAAATCCCTCTTCCCTTCCCCTTCCCCTCTTCCCAGGCTGGAGCAACATCGCTTTCCTCCATGGATGTCCCCCTGGGCACCAACCTTCAGCCTCTGCTGCTCCAAGTGTGGGATCCATGGGGCTGTTTCAGTAGGAAGTTGATTTCCAGTGGGAAGGAGCCCTCCCATCAAGCAGAGGACTGTGGGTTAAATGGTACCAGCCCCAGGAAGTGGTGAGAAGATGTGTTTGTTGGATTGCTCCGTAGAGTCCAGGGCACTGGAGCTTCATTTTGCCTGTGGTATAGATGATGGACTCACCATGGGCACATTCAGAGATTCCAGCTGACCAGAAGTCTCCTGTGTGCCCTGGAAGTCATACCCAGAGCAATACACGTTTCTGATCCTGTTGGATCCTGTTGTCAGCCCCAAGACCGCCTGTGGTTCACCCTGCAAACAAGGAAATGTTGTTTCCTGTCAGAGAAATCCCCAGGCTGACACCCCACAACAGCAGCACCAGCAAACCCTGGATCGGATCCTCTGTAGCAGCACACATCCATCAGAGAGAGGGACTTCAAGAGGAGAAAGGGGATTTTTGGGTTACAAACTCAAAATGAGACTTAAAATTAAAGGGAGAAATTGCTGTGATGAGCTTTGGACCTGCAGCAACACGGGGGATTCCCTCCCTGCCCAGCAGAATGTGAGATGGATGCTGTGTTTTCTTGCCTTTCAGTGCACACAGCTGCCTGTACCTGGCACGGGGGGCAGAGACCTCTGGTGCTGCCCAACAAGGGACTCCAGAAGTCTTGCCATGGCAATTTTGGGACACCTGGCACCCAAGACAGTGCAGATCAAGCGTGGATGCCTTCAAGCTCTCCCTCCTGTGCCCACCCCGCTGCTGACCCTGTCAGAGTGGAACAATCCTGCTCATGGTGCCCATACCCACGGCAGGAGGGTTGGAATCAGGTGTCCAACCCAACCCATTTTAGGATCTCAGCTCAGCTCAGCTCCTCCCCACGTGCCCGAGCAGGAGCAGCTCTTGGCTGAGAAGACCTGGCTGTGCCCAAGGCCTGGGGAGGAGCAGGAGGAGCCACCCCAGTGCTCTGGAAGCTGTGCCTGTGTCGATGTGCCTGTAGCTGTCTGTGAGCTCTGTGTGTGTGTGTGTGAGTCGCTGTGTGTCCATCTGAGCCCACAGGATGCCTCTCCCATGAGGCTCCAGGTTGGGTTCTTGCCTTTGTTCTGAAACGTGATGGGAACCACGATCCGGCGAGGATCCGACGTGCCTGGGGGGATGCAAGGAGGTTTTCACACCTGGGGCTCCACAGAGAGCTTTAGATTAATGCAGAGAGGACAAATAATTTGTGTTCCTCCACAGGTCTGCACAGTAGGGATGAATTAAGGGGTTCACAGACATGTGGGGCTGCGGGCTGTGAGATGAGATGAGTCCTTCATCCCCACAACCCCTGGGTGATGCCTCCCAATCCACCCCAAAGCTCCCTGAGTATCTTTTCTTTCTGCTAAGCAAGGAGGAGCTTTATCTATACCATCAGCACCACACCTAGGTGCTGATTCTTGTGCTCCCCAGGTGAGGAAGGTTTATTTTGGGTTGTGACCAGATTGTCACTTGGCCTCTGGACAAGACAACCATCCACCCTAAAGCTCCCTGAGTATCTCTTCTTTCTGCTAAGGAAGGAGGAATTTTAGGCACCAGAGCTTTATCTATACCATCAGCACCACGCCTGGGTGCTGAATCTTGTGCTCTCCAGGTGAGGAAGGTTTATTTTGGGTTGTGACCAGACTGTCACTTGACCTCTGGACAAGACAACCAGCCATGGTGCCGTTCAGTTTACTAGGAACAGCCTTACTTCCCCATGGACATCTTGGAGAAAAAAAAAAAACAAAAAACTCACTCATTAAAATTCTTCTTTGTTTACTTTTTTCATAAAAATAAATCGGTTTTGTGTCCCACATGTGGATTTTTAGACATGTTTTCAATCAGAAGATAGAAATGATGGTTTTTCCATGAAAATAATGCCTTGGAAAGGGGGATTGGTTCTCTCTAGGGTCAAATGGAGTGGAGTACAGGGTGGGCCTGCCTTTGGGCTCTTGTCTGGTGGCCAAAAGCAGGGGTTAATTCAAGCACAGTCTAAGTGGATCATTACACGCGGCAGTAGAAAATCAGACGTCTGGGTTCCAGACATTTATTTTCTGCATTAAGGGGGAAGAGGGATGAGTGTAACTGCCAGCTGTTTGTCAAAATGCACAATTTTTTAATTATAAAGCCTCTGTATTGATTTCTGCCTCTGGTCTCTCAGTGTCTTGGGGAAGCACCAGGATGGTGTGTTCCAGGATCACAGGTGTGCCAGGTTTTTTCCTGGCAGGTTTTTGTATCTGCTCAAGCCCATCAGCTCCACCTGGCAGTCCAGAAGAGATGGGAGGAAAATGAGGTTGGAGCACATATGGTGTGTTTGGACAAAAACCTATGGGAAAGAAAGCAAAAAAAAAAAAAGTTAGTTAGCCAGTGAGTGAAAAGCGGGTCCAGGCACTTCAACTATATCAGGCTAGGGAGGAAAAAATAAATAGAAATAGGTCTGATTTTTGCTGAATTTCATTTAAAATGAAAAGTCACCCAATTTTTGGGTCAGATTTGAGAAACATGAGGACAGGTCATTGCTCCCACCACAAAATTCCCAGACAGGAGCCTGCAGGTCTCAGCTGTCCACAATGAGATGATTCAAACCCTCAAGTGTTGGTTCCTCTCCTGTGGCTTAGAGCCACATTCCCTCTCCCAGATGCCTGGAGAGAAAAGCTGCTGGAAATCAAGGTTGGTTCTGCTGAAGTCCATCCAAAAAATGCTTCCTTTGTAGACCAACAAATCAAAGCTGCATCTCCATCTGGAGCACCATCTCTTGGAAGCAGGAATCCTCCATCTCTTGGAAGCAAGAATCTTCTGGGCACAGATTCCAGTGCTGTCCTCAGCCACCCAGCAGTGAGACACATTGCTTATGAAATGGAAGAGCCAGTCTGAGACTAATCCATGGGAATAATTAACTGCAGTTTTAATTTAGGTGGTCAGGCTGGAGGACCATGGATTTCTCCAGAATAACTGGAAAATAAATTTCAAATTATTTGTGCTTGCCCCTAAAAGCTCAATGTAAATTTTAAAGGGGGAGGGGGGGAAATCACTCTAGCATTTTAATGGGATAAACTTTGCTTTTACTCAAAACCTAAATGCATCACTTAGGAGGAAGTTGTTCCCTGTGAGGGGGGTGAGGCCAGGTCACAGGGTGCCCATAGAAGCTGTGGCTGCCCCTGGATCCCTGGAAGTGTCCAAGGCCAGGCTGGATGAGGCTTGGAACACTCTGGAATAGTGGAAGGTGTCCCTGCCTATGGCTGGGTATTGGAATTGGATGAACTTTAAGGTCCCTTCCAACCCAAACCATTCTGGGATTCTGCAAAAATAGTTCTAAAAATTTTAAATTACAGCTGAGACATTAACACTTCATTTTCAATCAAGCATTGTCTTGCTGTTAACTGTAAAAAATTTTCCTTGAAGGAGCCTTAATGAAACTTTTTCAGTTTCTTTTTTTCAGCTAGACCAAATCCCTGAAGTTTTAGTCAGTCCAAAGCTCTGTACTTCTTACCATGAAAAAATCAGTTAAAAATTAATTGGCCTGGGTTTCTTTTTTCTTTTTACTTCCTTTGGGTCAATTAAGAGGAAGCACAAAGCAATTTTACACATTTTACTTCACTCTCAGCTGGCTTCTCTCCCTGGCATGAGCTGCCACAACCTGGTAATGGACAGGACCTTGCTCCTCTGCCACAGCCCCACAGCAGAAATGATGAAAAGGATCATTGTTCCCAGGAAAGTGTCTCATTCCTCACTCTTTTGGCACGGGATGTGATATCCCATAATCAGTGAGTGATCCAAGGTCTCTCACAATCACCTCCATAAAACCTTAATTAAATTCAGTGGAGACTCTGTCACAGAAAGCCATACTGGGTCCCCTTGCACCAGGAAAGCCAAGGAATGACACATTTAAGGATTTAATGACAGAATTTTCGGGTTGGCTCTGCTACACAGGATTTCAACTGTCACAGTTTAACCTTTTTTATAGATGTAGATGATATAGATATGGATACATATGGGAACAAATCCCAGTTGGAGTATTCCCAGCAGCTCGTGGGTTTATTTCACAGCCTGGTACTCTCTGCTGAGTGGGTTTTCCTTTAGATCAAGGCAGACAGGAGGAGGGGGAAGGAAAAAAACCAAGGGATTGTAAGGAGGAGGCGGCAGGCTCCACACCAGGACCGGAGCCAGGCTCGCTTCCCCCGCTGCACGTTTTACAACCAAGTGTTGTGTCTGAGGGGATGGGAGTGAGACATCCCAAAACCCAGCAGGAACCACCCCTCTGGCAGCACTCACAAACCAGATGCAGCACCCAAAGATGTGCAAACCACTCCAAAAATCCTCTCTCATCTCAATGTGACATGGGAAAACTGGGAAGCTGAGGGCAGCACTTCCCTCCCCTCTGCAGGCTCAGGACACTCCTGAGTCCTGGATGGTCACACTCACTCCTGGGAGCCCCAGGTTCCAGTGGTTGGAATGTTAAGGTGAAATGTAGATGTGGAATTCAAGGTAAGCAACAACTGAATTTGGGCCAAACTCCTGCTTTCAGCCTTTCATATTTTCAATCTATTTTATGAAGAAGGATCAAGAAACCATCTTCATTCACCCATCATTCAGAGCAGCCAAGACCTGGACTG